TTAGTTCTGAAAGCTTCTTTTATTAGTGATCAGATAGGATCAGCGATACGTATGGTTGTGCAATAATCAGTCAATGAAAACTTTTGATTGCCAAAGCAAGTTGATGATGAACGAAGAACATTTTGAGTTAGTGCCATGGAAACGAGGCGTAGTTTTCGATGTTGGTTTGATGGTTTTCAGGTACATGACATTTTGAATAATGTCGTGAATGCACTTGATCGGTATGAAGAATTAAAGTTTATTTGGTCAGAAACATCATTCTTAGAGAAGTGGTGGTCACGCGCAAACGTCACCAATCGGGATCGCTTGCGTCGGTATGCGATTTCGTTTGTTTCACAATTCCATTGCAACAATGCAGATTATTCGCCCTCTTTGAGCACTGCTTTACCGAGCCAATAATGAATGCGAAACGACCATTCAATTCATCGAAAAATTTGTTCCATATTCAGCGCCTTTCCTTCTTGTTACTACTATCATGTAATGAGTATGCAATAAAGGCCCAGCTCAAACAACTGGACCGTATTTGCGTCTCAAATACGTGAACTTTATTGAAGACTGATCGACGAGAAACGTTTGGAAATAACTGGAGGAGCGTGGGTAATGAATGATGAGGCTGTGCCATATCTTTGGTCGGTCATTGACAATATGATTGTTGGTCAGCAGTTCCTTCAGAAACAACTTAACGTCACACCTCGGACATCTTGGTGCGGTGATATCTTACAATTAACTATTTCAATTCAATCAGATCTGCTAGCAATTTTATTCATCTTTTATTGTATGCAAATATTAAAATTGTTGATCAAAGCGCATCAGTTCTGTTGCGGTAACAACAGATGAAAGAATTTGCATATCTTGAATGTTCATGATCGGTCAACAAAACGATCATGCTTAGGGAAAGCATGATCGTATGGAAGAATGTTTTAAAGCTAGCAAAGGGTCTGATTCTAGGTCAGTTGATCCTTTCGGTCATAGCTCTATGATGCCATATTTGTTGTCGCTGTCCGGAATCAACAACATGGTCATTGGAAGGATCAGTGCCGTGCTGAAAGAGACAATGAGAAGGATGCATCGTCTTCATTTCAAATGGATACAACCGTGGGATATCGTAACTTAATTTTTTCAATTATTTTTCGTGAATCTATTCTCCTATAAAATTTTAAAGGAGATTTGGGTTGGTGAATGATTTTTAGTTAATAAATATTCGAAGTGAAACATTTTCATGCATCCATACTGCACTTATGAGGATAATCTAAGACGGAAACTGGTTTCTTTACTTTCCATGCCCATTTAGATTTCTGTGCGTTCGATTTCTGAACGTCTATCTTTAGGTTATATATCTTGAGCTTTTGGTTTTGTTAACTTATGCTCGTGGTGATTTATTCCAAAATGATGCATCGAGTTAAGTGGTCACTTATAATAGATATGCATCGAGTAATAAATAAATTGAACTGTTGC